TGAAAAACAAAAGAGGGTGAATAGCAGCTGATGCAGTTTTTTTCATGTAACGGAACCATTCTAAAAAACGTTAAATAATGATCGATAACAATGAGCTTTATTCTAACAATTGTACCAAATCAGTACACATATTTTCTGTAAGAATTTAACAATCACACCTAAGAATAACAAAACAAGAAAATTAAACACTGCAAAATAACAAGTAAGATTTTTTTAGTATAGCAATGAACATATTTAAACAGTAGTTAATGAGAATAACTCATCAAGATACAACAACTGTAGTATACTGAGCTTAATGGTCTCTAATTTTCATTCAGTAACATATAAAAATAGAAACAATCTTTGCTTTGAGTCATTTGCCTGTTGTGCATCACACGAAGAAATAGCGCAATATATCTTTCTTGATCAGGTATTGTTTTAATATTATTTTGTAGTACGTTAAAAATTTTTACAGAGATATTGCTCGGACGAACGAAAACAAAAAGAAAAACGTTCTGCACTCGTTTCATCATTTCAATGTCATTTCAGTGTTAGGCACATGGCTTTTGAATGCCTTGACTATTTGTTGGATATTTGAGGAAAAACAAGATGCTTGCAATTTTGAAAATTAAAAATATATATATATTATAAAACATTAATCGCTGCAGTTTCAAATTCATGATTTGATCAAGGTTATAAATTTTAAACTACACCGTAATTTTAGGTACAGGATAACCCCTTTTCGGGGGTTATTTTAACTCCTAATTTAACTCCGAATTTGGGGTCATTTCTACCCCTGAAAAAGAATTCTTTTTACTCCCAGTCTGGAGTTAAAATCACTCCGAAATGGGGTTACTTTACTCCTTACATGGGTTGTTTTTACTCTTTTTGGAGTTAAAATAACTCCCCGAAAAAAAAATCCACTGTTGGGAGTTAAATTAGCCCCCACTAGAGGAGTTATTATAACTCCCTGAAAATTACTGCGTAGACACCAAAATAAACGCCTGTCAAGATTAACCTTTTTCGTGGGTATCAGTTGCATCATGAATGTTCAAAAGCTTATTTTCATCATCTATTGTTCCTGTAAAATACATACTTTTGTAGAGGCAAACGTTCTGTAAGGTAGCTAGACTGCTCTTTCAGAACTCTCTAATTTCTAATAAGAGTTATGCATAAATTACTTGCTAAAACTACATTTGCAATTATTGTATTTCTTACGTCAAAAATCATTGATCTCCCGGCTTCGGTCCACAATTGCCCTTTTAGATGTCAGAACGTTACCAGCAAATGTCACTGCCAAACCTCGTTTAACTGTAGACTTGTTTTAAATGCAGAACTTCAAATGCGCCGAATCAAATACAAAATAGTCATTTTTATCGCTCTCGCTCATTTGCCTCACATTCGAAACATGTAATTCCTATGTGACGAACCCAATGTTAATAAGGAAGAACAGCAAGAACTATCATTTTGCTTGTTAGCATTAGATTCGTCACACGTGAAGTCGTCGACGTTTGACTTGGTCACCTAAAAATTGCAAGTTTCAAAACAGTGAATTCCGAGAGTGGAGACTTAAGCCTCTGTTAAAGGACCTTTCTTAACTCATGATCAGTGAGATAAACCTAAGATAGGTTGAATTCTTACTGAGATGGGTAGGGGCTTAGCAACAGTTTAATTTCTAATGTTTCCGACAACTAAACAGAATTCGTTTTAATCTTTCATCGACTCCAACTCAGATCTAAGAGGGGCCCTGTGTCTGACGCGTCACACTTTCTAATTACGCAACAGTTTGGCACACGCTTTACTAAACTCCGCCTCTTCATCTTCTATTAGAATGACATGCAACTCTTTTGTACGCCTTCCAGAATCTCATCTGCCATTTGTTCGGTCCCATACTATTCCCTTGTTGGCGGGCAGTTCAGGGTCCCGATGTCAATGCCTCTCCAGCCGCAGACGATGGTAAAATAAAATCCAACCCCTTTGCAGGCCTTCCAGAATCTCGTCTGTCATGTGTTGAATCCTTACCATTACCTCGATGACAGGTGGTTCAGGCTGTCGATGGCAATGCCCCACCAGCTGCAGATGACGGTGACATCGCATTCATCTTCTCTTGTGTTGTTTCGCATATTATGACGTTGCCGGGGGCACTTCATGGTGCTCATGCATGGCAATGACCCACCAGCCATAGAAGGCCTTCTTTCACTTCCGAAAATTTCGGAATTGGCCCGTAAGGCCCCTTGGTTGTCACAATTATGTACCTTTCAGCTCATACTTTGCACCAAATCAAAGGAAGGACTCAGAAAAAGTTAAGGGCCGACACCCTCTGACCTCTAGAGTACCTCCCAATGGAAAGTGAGTTGAGAAATGTCTTTAATAAGAGGCCTTAGTTAAATATGACTTAGCAAGTCTGACGTTAACATGCAAAAAGGCTATAGTTCCTGTTATTTCAAAATATTCATCACTTTTATTTCTGATCAAAAACTGCAGACAGACCATAAATCATACCGCAAAATCCCGGTTATAGCGGGGCTCCCGCGCGCGCGAAGCGCGCGTGGGACAGAGCCCCATACCCATGGAATATGGTCAACCTCTTTTCGTTTGGTTGTCACGTGATTGACCGAGCGTACGTACGTACGTACGTACGTACGTACGTACGCGTCTACAGATTGTATGGGTGGGGTAGGGGAGACTATCAAAAGGAAGGGAGGGGTGTCTCAGGCGTGTCTTGGCAAGTCCACATCTTTAATATAGGACATTAACAATATGGTCAATTGACAGGTGTCCAAACAGGATAGCCACTGACCAGTATCCCATGACTATATCGCGGGCTCATGTGTCAACTCATCGAGATGACGTGATTTATTTGGAAGCTGTCCGCTGACCAGTTAACTGTTTTACTAGATCGCGAACAACGTTCAATCTCATACTTTTACTAGTTTGGGAGCACAGGAAAACTGATAATGCACACATATTGGACATCAATGTTTTGATCAATTGACAGCTGTCAAAACAGAGTACCCGCTGACCAGTATCACTTGACCGTATCGCGGGCTCAGGTGTCGACCCGTCGAGGTCAAGTATTTATTGAAGTTATCCGCTGACAAGTAAACTAGTTTTCAAGTGATCGCAGGCTCAAGTTCATTTTTTTTTTCTTAATTCATATGAAATATGTTGTGTTTATGTGCTGCACAATTAAAATTTTGATTGCAAACTGACCTCGGACGTGAAAATTCAGCCAGCTGTTACAGGCAGGGAAGACAGTTGCTTTTTTTTTTTCTCACAATGGTCACGCGTTGGTCACGCTCTACGTCCAATTTTTATGCTCTGATTGGTCAAAATTTGACAGGTGAGTTCATGCGCAAAATTTATGCAGCATCTTGAATCTTGTTTACTTTAACAGCTGAAGCTGACAGAGTTTTGTGTCAACTTGTGATGTTTTTAACTGTCTTTTTCCACTGGATGTACAAAATGAAATTCAGCGGCTATCAGGAGTCTTCTGTTACTCATGGCTAGTTTGTTTATTGGGTTTTGGTTGAGAAAACGTCGCTTGTCAAAGTCGGAAATCCGATTTCGGATGGCATCGTTTTCGTTTTCACCTTGCTTGATGCGTAAGAGGATTGCAAAGTCTGAAGCGATACTGGCTTTACCTGATAACTTTCAGGAGCTGCATCTCGAATGGTAAGCCAGAGAAATTATTGTATTTCATGTTTGTTTTTGTATCTAATTTAATGAAGTGGAGCGTAGTTTATGCGGGAATTTAGTTTATGCGCGTTTGTAAGATTTGAGACAACGATCTCACCGAGTATCTGGTTTGATATAATCTTACAGAACTTTAAAAAGCCTTTAGACAGTTTCTCACCGCAAATAGAAAGAAAATGTTCCAAAGAATCTTTAGTTATAATTCCAGCCGGAAAAGAAAGCTTTGAGCGATTTTCTTGCCTCGAGTTCGTCTTTGAAAAAACAAACACCGGGAAGCTGGCTTAAAACATAAACTTCAGCAAACTTAAGCTTGAAGCTTGAAGATTCAGGATATTTAGGGACACTTTAATACTTGTCTTCCTGAATGAAAATTGTTGTCTCTGTTTATGTTTCACCGAATTATATTTCTTTTATTGATTGTTAGTAGTCTCTCTTGCAATTTTAATCGCTATGCCGATTGTTTTCAGTCGTTCAGTGAATATCGCTTGCAGGAGTTCTCAAAATGCCGCGCGTTAAACCATCAAATAAAAAATAAACATGATAAATTCTTTATCATCTTGGAGCGTAACTCTGTTAATGTTCATTCAAACACTCGCTACAGCTCGCACTACAAAAGTGAGAACCGGATGGCCGTATAGGTGATTTTGGAAAATTTTTTTAACAGTTTATGAATATTGAATGAGAGCAATTTGTATTGTGAAATACTGCTTTCCGATCCATGGTATAAAAGGTTGGTTTACACGCACCCAGATTTGTTGGCAAGATTTTGCAAAGTAAACTTGTCGAACGCCAAAACGTTGGCCTGGTTTTTTTTCTAAGCCTAATTGATCTACGGTGATCAATAGCCATTACGGCTCTTAAATGTGATAAAAGATGATTACCAGTTTTTGAGTGTACATATGAGGCTATCAACTCGATGTAAGATTTGGTTCACTCTTGGGCTGTTTGCAAATTATTTTTCTCTAAAATCAGGTAGCCTTTCCCTCAAAAGTCACATAAATGTGCTCTAAAGTTAACTGAATTGTGGAATTCGAATACAAGTTTATTGTTTAATTTAAATTATAAATTTACTAAGGGGAGCCTCGCTTTTAGCCCTGGCTAAATCTATATATTAATCAATGGATTTGTTCAATTTAGTGACAAACTTCTGGCTGGGGTTTTACTCAGAGGAGCTTATGTCCGGGGGGGGGATTATCAACGAAATAACCGTCAAAAATATTAGGAAAAGGCAGACCACCAGACGTACTCATTTCACTTAAAGAATAAAATTCAACACTCTAACTAAACCTTTAACCGAAACATAAAAAAAAACAAGATATATAGATGGGCTTGTACCTGGATAGGCTTATAACCGTAATAAGCAGGGTTTTTTTGGCAATAAATAAATGATACTGTACCCGGGGAGGGTAAAAAATGGAATAAAATGGTTGTTTACAAATATATGTACCAGGAGCCGATTACCAATACTAACTACTAATCGGCTCCTGTATGGGCTTATAATCGAGTGGCTTATATCTGGGATTTTACGGTATCATTTCTGTTAATATGACCGATACCTTTAAACGAGGAAAGGTAACTGACAATTTTAATAAAGGAACGCTTCATTAGATTCTTTCTCCTTTATCTTTTTTGCTTTCCAATATTCTTCCGCATCGACGTTCCTCCCTCCTCCTCCTTTCCTAGGGGATTCGTTAGTGTTACAGTATGGCTTAAAAGATACAATGGTACCATCTGGTCTTTGAACTCGAACAATAGTTGCATCGAAACTTGGATAATAATCAGAGGCTTCTAACGACAGTCTGAAGAAAAAGAAGGAAAAAACTTGTATCTTATTACATAATGGTCGGTTCCAAGGGCAGCTTTGGTTTCTGGTCCAGGTTGTAGGAAAACTGGGTTTATGACTATTTATCGTCTGTCGCTTTTAAGTTATGTTTGCAGACAGAATTTAGAGTTATTCCTTTGAAAATGGTTTCTAATTTTAATTTAACAACAGCCCTACTTTTAGCAAGCAAGCCCAGGATATTAGCATTTAAAACAAGACTCGCTCACAAACTATCATAAACCTCCTGAACCACCGCCCTGTCGAGATTTTGTGAATGTTATTTAATATTGTGAGACGTTTGGTTATTGGAAACTTATGTTCTTCAGACTGTCGGGCAAAAATGGGAGTGACATTGCGCCCATATTATCTTGATCAAGGGCACACTGGGTCTTTCTTTTTTGCGTAAAAAATTATACAGTACCCTACAATTTTATGCTGTAAGGCAGTCGTCAATTGATCATAATTGAATTCATTCACTAATTCACTAAAGCTTTTTTTAAGACGCCTTCATCCCTCGGGTAACCTCAGGGGGTGATCACTTAAAACTTTCGGACCTTCACGTATTCATCTTGAAAGATACTTGATGGTTTGCACATAGCGATGACATTTTACGATCTTTAAATGGTTTTAAATGTGAACTGAATGTGCGTTGTTGAGGTGAATGTGGCTATAAGGATTCCACGGTGAATTGTAAGGTGTCACATCGTGTATCCATTTTTCACATTGCAGTAGCTGGAAAAAATGAGGCAAAATGATAAATTAAAAGTGCAATTACATGTAATGCAAAATAAAAATGCGTGGTGTAAATTTGCTGCGAATGGGATCGTGAATGGGATTACTTGAATGGAAGGCGGGCCACCCTCATGTCCTCAAACCGATTTTGCGGGAGCTGTTTGGAACTATTCTAGCATGAGGATACTCAGACTGGCCGGTGATCGTCTTAAAAATGGCGGGTAATACGTCCTCGGAATGGACTTATTGTGCTCTCTAGTAGCAAAATAAATTGAAGTTGCGCACTACCATACAATCAGAATAGCTGCGATGAACGTTGTTTTGGAAAGCTTCTTTCTGTAAATTTTTCACATGCACAGAGATCCCTAAAATGAAACTCCGCGGACTCGTGATTTTTACAGCTTTCGAAAATTGAGATGAGAGCAATTGTTCTTCCTTATCGTAAACTGGGTTACTAGATTTTAAAATATTGTGCACTTCTTAAAATTAAAAAAAAAAATACCCAAAAGCTTTATTTCTATACAATGAAACGTTTGTAGGTATTTTAACTTTCAGACGTCAGTCATATCAATCAAACATGTTTTGTTTTTTGGCATGAATTGTTTTCCTGCGAATTTTTATTTTTCAGGTCTCTTACTTCCAAACAACACAAAATAGGTCTAAAGCAACTTGCCCTCAATCCTACTCGGACTGGTTTTTCAGAGGGGTTTGCCATAACAAGTCTATCAATCTCATTACGTTGTCAGAACAGTACGAACCAATCAATTGGCCGAGAAATGCACATAAATGCACATCACTGCTCTGTCACCTTTCCTGAATCGTGAATTAACAGGCTTTAATTGCAACAGTAAACATATTTCATCCAAAGACGTGTGTAAACTAACCGGTTGTGCCCATTAACTTCCCTTGGACCAACATTTTTGGAGCCGACATCTTTGACATTGTAGTGCCTACTGACCGATCCATTGCGAACACTCTTATGAGACGCTGTGCTTTCAGGATCCCAGTTGTAACCTTCCAAAACGTATTCAGGAGGAGGTGGGGTCTTAATGGGCCCAAGAAGAAAGGAATTGGTTGCTTCCTCTAAAGTCTTTGATTCGTTTGTCCCATATCCGCTCAGTTTTGGTTCCTCCTTGACATTTAGCTGATGCTTATTCTCGTGTTGTCGATAATACACAAAAACACCAACAATCAGAGCCAAACTGAGGGCGCCAGCAACTGTGGCAAAAAATACGGTGATACAATCCGAAGAGTGATCTACGAAAAAAAATGCCACTACACGGTCAATTCCAAACAATTATCCAAACTGTGGTTTTGGTGTCGTGTCCGTGAATCAGATACAGTTCCTCGTTACGCTCTAATTTGAATTAGAACTTAGGACCATTACAGTCCAATTTACTTGGGCTTACTTAGACCAAACGGCTGGAATGAGTTCCAGAATGGCCTGACATAAATATTTGATAGGTCTCTTCTACTGAAATTTGAGTCACACATTTCGCTACAATGGGCTGAAATAACTTTTTGGGTCCGTAAGTTACCATCCAAAAGATTAAATAGAACTAAAGAACTTAAAGCGCACTGGATGTAATTTTTCTTTTGAGTGAATAAATGGATGGATGCAGGGTGGATGGATGGATTGATGGATGGATGGATGGATAAATGGAAGGGTGCACGAGTGGATATATGCGTGGATGCATGGATGTATGTATGGGATGGATACATCAATGCATCGATGCATGGATGCATGGACATGAAATAGATGCATGTATGCATGCTTGCACGATGGATGGATGGATGGATGGATGGAGTCCTGGACATAAAATTAAGACAATTCCATTGAATAGTTGTTAAGAAAGGTAAATTGATACGCAAACTTAATGACATTGGTTGAAATCATTCAGTATAACCCGAGGATCACCTTGAACCGTACATGCATTTGCTTCTGCTGGGTAGATAACTAAGGTAATGAGGTATTTATACCTTGCAAGAACAAAAACCACACAAAAAGTGTGCCAGAAATGCCGAGAGATCCAACCTCGGATTTTGCTGTAGAAACAACTTGTTCCACCTGAAGAGTATTTACCGCCTTGACTCTTGAATCGTTTGGTTCAGTAGTGGTGGTGTGAACTGTAACATGTTCTCGAGACGATAGTAGGGTGCTTCGGGTAGCCACGATGTTGACAGTTGAGGTAATCATTATCGATGAGAAGCTTGCAATTGAGGTTGTTGATGGTAACGTGTTCGTTGTTAATGTGCTTATCGGAGTGCTCTTTGCCATGATAATAGTACTTGATGACGTGTACAAAGAGGGTTTTTTTCTTTTCTGCAATTCTTGAAGAAGGATAAATAATAAAAAAAAGAAATACATTTTTTGTATTTGTATAAGCCCTCGGCGCCACATTTTCTGGTGTTGTTTGGGTAAACAAGCATCAGTTTTGATTGGTCAATGGCATACAAAAACAACCAGTAACACCAATAACTAATAACCCTAACGATCCCATAAATTGTTGCGCCGAAAGCTTGTATCCCTTCTTTCTGAGGTTTATGGATTGTGAAATATCAAATGCGTGGAATTATTTCCTTATATTTGCTTAATCACACAGATAAAGATATTGACGATACGAAATATGAAAGATTAAGATTATGAACTTCAAGGGAAAAGAGACGGAAAAGAGATCGGCCTGAAAATGTGCCTTGAATATGAAAGAGCCATCAGCACTGAAAATGTGACAAGGAAAAACTAACAGAAACTCCAAAAACCACTTAGATTTGACTCCGAGGCAAGTAAAATCGTCCGGCAAACCTTTCAAGAAGTTGCTCTTATAATTATGTTCTTAATTCTGAACAATGTGAAACTTGGAATTCAAAGGAAATTCACGTACATTTCGTTTCTTGGTCCTGCGAAAAAAACTGTGCTTAAAACCTACTTCTGAACTTGTACGATAACCCAAAGAAGGTATTTGACAGGAACTCGTACACCTTACTCCAAAAAGGCCCCAAATTTTGTTATTCTTTTATCTGCGCACGGTGCATCATTTCAAGGTTAAATTTCTCTAGAATTCTGCAGGTGAAATCGAGGTGAAGAAGGCTAATTAGCGAAAATATAGAAGGAAAATATTATCACCTCCATTTTATTTTAAAGACGGTGCATTAACTGCTTAATAACTGCTGTAAATAGGTATATAGTGGTATGTGAAAGGGAAGATAAATCTGTCATTTCGGTCTGTAAAAAGGCTTAAAATGTTTTACAGATGCATTTTATGGCTTTGAAAAAGTCGAGGACAAGTTCTGGTGTGTTGGTATATTCTTATTTCAAAGACGGTGAATTTACAGCAGTTAAAAGGAATGCAAAGTTATTAACTAGGTATGTTAAAGGTGTACCGTTTGTCAAAATTGGTATATAAAAGGGTAAGGAGTTGGATCTCGGGAGGAAGCCTCCTCGTCTAAAACTTTATTGATTACCCCTCGGGGCAAAAACGCTTTCCTAATGGTGGAGATTAGACCCATTTGTCATAATAAACTGACTCAACTCACACACACTTACCACAGGCATACACCAAGTTAAGATAAGGGTGCGCGGTATACGGACAAGGATCCCCAAACAAAACACTTTTGACTCTAACTTTACACTTGCTTTTCTTTGCACACATGCCTTTAAGCACCTCAGTGACGTCTTTCTCGCCACAGTTAAAGTTCTGATCATTCTTATCCCCACTGTACGGACAAATCACATGACCCGGTTCAGTTCGCCCAAACTGTGCAGAGTATATGACCAGTCCCATGCTGGAGTTTCCACAGTTTATTTTAAGACGATCATTTTCGCAAGTGACTTTGTTTTCTGGAGTAACTCCATCATCTGGAATCTCCCATGCTGAAACAAAAGAAACAATGTCAAACAGTTCAAAGTTTTGCATGTAAAAAAGTCTTGTCATCATCATTTGAGAGAATCCAAAATTAGATTCCTGATCTCAGATTCTTGGAATTCGTTATTACGAAAGAGAAGCAAAAAACGAGAAAACCGATTCTTTAACGTGACATCAGTTGGTACCATGTATTTAGCACGAAAGTACTAATTGGCGACACTATTTTACGTCTCCAACTGGAAACGGGACCGCTATTTTACGTGATCATCCGAGCCACGCGAAGGTCTAACCGCTTGCAGTGCAAAGGGATCCGGAGTACCTTTTTCATTTCTCAGTCCTTCCCCGGGAATCGAACCAACGACCTATCGCTCTGCAGTCAAGAACTTTACCGACTGAGCTTATCCTGCTACGGAAACAACGAGAAACTCGTTGATGCCGGGACTCGGGCTGGATTGGTATGAGGCGAGTGCTCTGACCAATGCACTATAGCTCTGCACTATCCAACTAACCAGCATGTCAGAGATTCCTATAAAAGGAAGCGAATTCTTCCATCTGATTAAGACTGGGTGCTTTTGAAAATAACATTGAATTCACTTGTTCGATATAAAAAATAAGGGAAAATGTAAGATGTTTCCTAGAGTTGTTATTATGAGAGTTATTGTCATTTCACTAAGAACTGTATTTGCATTTTTATCGCGAGACAACGTAATATGTCATATTGGTATATACACACTCAGTGATCTTGGTGATTTAAGCAATCTGATTGGTTCGCTATCTTGAACTATTCAACCTCCTAGCGAGTGGATAATGTGTGAGCTCGGTGTTTTTCCCATTTTTTTAGAGAACGATCTTTTAAAAGTCGACAAAATCCTAGGGCTGACTTTTTTTAAGGCAAGAAAAGACTTGGAAGGATTCAGTAGGGCATTTTTCAATTTACTGTAGCTGAGTTTTTGTGCTCGATGGATTCTTTACAACTCCCGTGTATTCGAGAAGAAGAAGCCGTTTCGTGAACTCAGCGTTTTCTAACAAGAAAATTTTGGCTCAAAAATCGAAGTTTATTTTTGACAAACAAATTTAAAAGGAAATGTTTGCAGAAATTCTACGTTTCAAGTAAACAGGAAAAAGAATGATACAGGAAGACGACGTCTTACCTCGACCAACCGAGCCGGCATTTTTGTCAGCACTTCATGCGAAGAACGGCACAACAAACCGTTTAGGCTATCAACTTGGCGAGTCAACGGAAAACAACAAAGCTCTACTTTTCTTCTCAGGTAAGGAAACAGTTCAAACTTTTAGCGTTCCATTTAAGCCATTACGCTGTTGTTTGCGAAATGATAAACTTGTGAATTGCCATGTTTGAAAATTCTGCAAAGATCTATTTTTTAACTTACGTGTGATTTGATCTGTCAATCAAATCGTACTTTTTAATGGTTTCCTCTCTGATTTTGTTGAGATCACTTCGTGTGTATGTACTAAAACAATTATTCTTTTCAATCTCGGTGAATAGTGGCTTTGGGAATATTTAGCCACTATTCACCTCGATTTCAAAGAATAATTGTTAAATATGTCTTGGTAGGTTAGTTTTCGGATACGTTGCATGATAGAGAACTTGAGGTGGTCGTTTTTTACTGAAATATCCAGCAAATATACCAGAAGAAACCGTGGTGCGAGGTGACTAGACAAAATGTTAAAAGTGGTGTCAGTTCTCTTCAAAAGTAACGCAAATTACAAAGCCAACGTCCGATACATTAAAATTCTAAATGACTCCGATGCTTTAGGCACTAAATTGCAAATTTTTCACTACTCCGTTGTCTCGCGATTCCCAGAAGAGACTTGAGCAGAGAAAAAAAAAAAAACAAACCAAACAAAGAAAAAATGAGCAGAAAGACTTGGAGTCATGTTAGAATTTAAAAAATATATATTGAGCGTGGGCTATTTGCATAGTGCCAAATATCTACCACATCACTAACTACTATCTCTACCTACAACTTTCCAAATTAGAACCTACCGAGTGAGAACTGCATATCAACGAGAATGACTTGCAATTTAGATACCATGGTCATCGTGGGACTGGGAAAATTTGTTCGAAACGTTGCTCAGAATCATACTTCATCTCTAGGTATCTAACAAAGTGGCAGGTTGGACTTAGCCGGTCGATCAAATCACGAGACTTATCGATTAATTATATCTAATTGAGCTGAATAAGCAAATTGATCACTCTAAATATGTTATGGTTAGGTCTGGGTCAAATAGCCTTGAAAATTGTCGTTTTTAATAGACATCTTTAATATCCGTGCATTAGTAATTCCTTTTGTGAGATAAAATTGGTATCTTTTACGTTCGTTGTTGTTTCTACCAATACCATAGCTCCGTTGACTTATGTTTAATCCTACAAAACCATTCCGTGATATGGGTAAAGCGCGAAGGGTTATTCAAACCGTTTGCAAGGACAAGTGTGATGTTAAGAATGTAACTGCAAAAATAATCTTTAATTATAATGGAAAAGCACTTAGCCCGCCTACTCTAGCTTTTTTATAGCATTCAACTCAATTAATCATAAACTAGAAACATTTGTATCGCAAAACCCTCGGTAGCTCAAGTAAAGGGAAAAATTATGAAAAAAAATTGAACAAATAACAAACCGGCAATAGGCGGAGAAAACAACTGGCAATTCGCGACGCCACAACTGGTTTTCCCGCAAAATGACGACTGAGAAACGAGCGCAGAAATTCCATGCTAATGACGCGTCACTACTCAGATCTGGGTAGCGATGCACCATCAGTATGTCTCAGACGTTATTTCGCGGGAAAACCAGTGGTGGCCCCGCGAAATGTCGGCTGTTTTCTCAGGCTAAACAAACAACAAATAAAAACAAACAATTCATCCCTCGAGACTCGAATTTGGGTCACTTGCCTGCCTGGTAGACTCTGCAAAATCAATCGGGCTATATTATTTGTCGAGGTTTTTTTTAGTCGCCTTTTGTTGCTAGGTAATTAAGGACACCAACCAGATACTTAGCCAACTCATGTTTCTACCTTGCTGAGCGATCACGCTCGTTCCACGCGCGGTACGAATTCCGAGAAAATTAAAAACCTCACTTCGCGAGGAACAAATACTCTCAGTGGAACTTAACACTGTTAAAAAACCAGAGCTTTTAGAAGGCAATCAATAGGCTGTTTACAAGCGTGGCTGAGGGATCGAATTCGGGACTACCGAGAAACAAATCCTGCTAGAGACCAGAGCGGGACTCTGATTTTCAGATAACTTCAACGCTTACTTTGGATTCGATTCATTGGTGATAATGTGGAGCAGGCGGTTGGAAAACGATTACTGAGAAAAAATTGTATATTGCAATTTAACAGGTCATAATCCTACTCTGATCTCTCTGTGAGAGTGAAATGAAAGTATTTTTCACGGACATGTCATAAAACTTAACGAAATGTAGAAGTTCGATTTCCCTAAATATTTAATTTGCTCTCTTTCGTTTTTCATCTGCATACATTTAATCTGAGGACAAGCAGTTTAAGGACCTTGTTCTGCATGCATTGCTTGATCGCTAATTCTAATTGCTTTTGATTTCTCGGCATAAGAACTAATACATGTGCGCGTTTACTATCCTTCTAATCTTCTTTGTAAAATGCCGCCAACAACATTATTATAAAAAGTGCTAATTATTTCAATTACAGATCTGTGACCTTATTTAATCTGATAAAATTTACGAGCTCGTCAAAGGGTCGAAAGCTTTTATTTAATAAAATGAAATCTATGGGTTTTTTTTTTTACTTTTTATCGCTGACTAATGATTTAGCGGTCCCCACCAAAAACTAAAGGTCTAAGTAGCATATAGTATTTCCTAGATATGATTATTATCACCTATCATTCTCTCTTGCACCTATAAGATACTAAAATAAGTTTGTAACCATCTAAGTAGCATCGCCCGATATCGCATACTGTTGTCACAGTAAAGAAACTCAGCAAAATGAGTGGATAATCCGTTAATCGAACTCGGTCTGATAAATACAAAAACAGTCACTGTCGTTCTTTGCTAAGCGGGCACAGATATGGGTCTCCGAGGATGAGATATGAGAAAAAAAACCCTTTATTAAATGTTGAATATGCCATGAAGAAATTAGTTAAGGAGTCATGAAAATATTCTTGGGTAACTATTAAGTTCTTAGGTTGCTGTGTATTGTAGTTGCTGTTAATGAAACATAGATAATATTGAGGTAATGTACATTTGTTTCAATTTTGACATTTTTGTAGTTTTTTCTTAAATGTTGCTATGCGTTATCAATTCATTGTTCAGTTTTCTGCCCTAATTTTTCACGTAACATCCTTGTCGTGGTCCTTCGGGGCGTCTATGAAATGCTTTGCATCCGTTTCCAGTCTGTTGCCTGGCGACGACTTCAAGGTATTGTAAATGTAATTTATAGATTTAGCCAGGGCTAAAAGCGAAGCTCCTATTAACATGTGGCTTTCCATGATCGCCCCAGTTAGGAAATCTTTCAATCATGCGAGAACTGTAGTGAGCATACGCGAAACGGGCTGGGAACAACAACAAGAAGTTCGCCTTCGCAGCGATTCGACAGTGTGAAATGAGTTCGCTTTTGGTATCGTTGGTCATTGCTTTCTTTGCTGTAACCAATTTTCGTCCGCGGTAGTATGGAGCTTACGTTTTCCTATCTTCTGGTCTTGCGTTTGTCATGACATGCGGTTTACTACGCTAAGAACGAGACCAGTGAACATTGATCGTAAACAGACATTGTTCCTCGATGCCGAACCTTTTGACTCACTTCATCTCTCTAGATGCAGGCTCTCAAGCTGTGTTTCTGTTTAGAAGACCCCCAAGACTTAAAAAAGGGCCAACCCTCCATGTCAAGTGAAAGGCCCAAAATTAATTCACAGGGATATTAAAAAAAGTGCGGTGGCTGTGTTCGAAAGAGTTGTTTACGGTTTTACTACCCCTTTAAGACGACAAGAAATGATTGATTGATTGAGGGTCTTAATTCTTCATCCTTGATTGTGAACTTATCTTGGCAGAGTTGCGTTGGATGATTGAGTGGCATGGTCAAATCTCGTACTCCATGTATTTCTTTATGTACTAGAACCTAAATAAATTTTGCCAAGAGATCATTCTCTCTTGATTTTGCACATGTTGCTATGCTTAAGTTCTTATCTTCCTGTGATTTGAAATGAAAGGGAAATTATTTTGTGTGTTTGGAATTCTCTTTTCATGACAGCAGTTATTACGCTGCCTTCAGTTTGAGTCTTCATTCAAGTGTGATTTGTTGCCAACAGAGAGGGAAAAGTTATAAATTCCAAAAACTACACTGCCCCTTGGAACAAAATTATGGTTTAAAAAAGATTAGCTAAGTTCAGAAAATAAATGTTCAAGTTGGCATGTTTTGACTAGGACCACATTTGGCTAAACATGCTTCAAAGGAAATTTATAAAATCAGGAAAATGGTGACATTTCTATTTTTGTCTTTCCTTTGGACACTGCCATCAGTCTGATCAGTTTTTACCATAGAGTTGCATATAACTTTTTACATCTTTGGACATCAACGTTCCAGGTTAGTTTGTGTCTGTATAAAAATGTCATGAATGAAATCAAACCCTCTCTAGTAGATATGAAAAACACCATAGGATCCCTTGGAAAAAAAATGTAAAATGATTATCAACATAATATTATTTGTAGTCAACAATAACAGTTAGAAGCTTGTGTTGAGGCAGGCAAAAACACTTCTTAGAGACCATAAACCTTCAGTGGTAAAAGGGTATTAAAATGTGAGATCACCTCCCTTGGTTTGGTATGTGCAGTAGGACATATTGTTCATTTCCCTACCCTTTTTAAGCAAAGAGACCATTATAATCGGATTCATTTCATTTAGCATACATAATTCAGTTAGCTTTTAAACTTGGAAACATTTAAGTAACTTGGGAAAAAAACGGTGGTAACAAACAACCCAAACAGACGACCTGTTCGAAAGTCTAAAGGGTGAAATGGTCACCACCCTAAATCAGCTGCACACACCCATCTAGGCCCAATGAGCCAAGGGTGGTATCGTAGAAAGAACTGCTGAGGAAATTGGGCTCAAGGGACAATAACTTCCTTTGATGGTTGATAAAAAAATCAATTTTACCTTGTTTATTTTGGTTGTAAATCAGATTCATAACTTACACGAACAATTGAAGTTGTACATTTTTCAAGCCCCTTTTGATTCTCTTGATAAACTTTGCAAAACATTCAATTTTCTTTTTTCTTTTTCTTGTACTTCAGTCCTTTGCGGGATTTTCTCAATGCATACCCCTCTCTGATGTACTCACTCTTATTAGCAACTGGATTAGCCTCTTGTCCCCAACCCTAAACCATTATAATCATTTCAAGTATAATTCAGAACTATAGGGTAATTTTAGTACATATAATTTCAAGGAAATACTTGAAACCAAAATCACTATCTAATATAAAACTTCTAAATACGGTATTGCTGTTGGAAATAATTATTGATTATCACTCCAATGATGTTCCAGTGAAGATTTAATTTGAAGGTTCAGTAAACCCCTTCCAGCCTTCTGATATTAAAAATAGCTTATACTGACAGACCCAGTATATGTGAAGCAAAGTGATTGGAAAATTTACCGTGGCTTTTACTAAATTGGGCCCGTATTTTGTATTTAAGCATTTAAGCCCAAAAATACTTGTTGTGGCTCCCAGCGTACAAACAAACTTACGAACAGCGAAGTAGAAAATTGGTTATTTGAACATTCACATAGGATTGTTGCGAGACTCATACTAATGTAGTGTGCTCCTAGCATGTGTTTAGAATAAGGAAGAGATTCTTAAACCGCTGTTAACGGGAAAATATAAGAGATGGGGCAGGGTGGTCGCAAGTTTGCTGCGATATATTGTTTGTAACTATGTTAATTAAACTTTTATATTGTGTTAATTTTAATTTCATTTTAAATGTTACATTCAATTAATTATTGTATGTGTGTATTTTTTGAAATTTATTTGTATATATTTCTTTTAGTTTTAGAGGGCCATGTGTTAGAAAAC